GGAACAACTGTAATAATCTGAACAATAAAGATTTATTTTTTAAAAAAGTTAAAAAAATTACTTAAAACAGTGATTGGCATATAATATTCACTCAAAACGGTTATTATTTCCCACTTGAGAAATTATTATAAGAGTTAAAGAGAGTAGAAAGTGCCACAACACAATGCAGGGCACACCGTAAATTCTCAATACACTCTAGATTTTTTTTTAAATATTTTTTTATGGATTTTTAGAGAGATGGGAAGGGAGAGGAAGAGAGAGAGAACACAACATCAATGTGAGAGTGGAACATCAATTGGCAGCCTCCTACCGGGGATCAAGCTTGCAACCTGGGCATTTGCCCTGACCAGAAATTGAACCATCAAACTTTTGGTGCACAGAGCAATGCCCAACCAACTGAGCCACACCAGCCAGGGCTACGCTCTAGCTTTTGATTGATCATCATCTGTATTACATACAACAGGTTAAAGACATCAAATAGAGTGAAGCAATGTGGAGTTTAGTGAAATGTATTCAACTTTGTGACAATAATCTGAATTATTTCAGGCTCTCTTATTCTTAAGCTTAGTATGGTCACAGGGTTAAAAGATATGAAAGGTCAATAATGTTGTGACAGATGGATCTTATTAGTTTCAATGATAAAGTAAAGATAACTCCAGGCCTTTAAATATTAGTGTTTTCAAATATATTATCTAATGGAGCCCGGTTGTGACAATGTCAACTCCAGCAATATCTAGCAATCTAATGGCTATTTGGTTATTTAGGTTTTTCTAGATTATTATCATCATCCTTGTTATATAATTGCCTTTGTGTCCTTTATATCATAGGATAGTCAGGTGTTACTCATTTGTTTCCAAGGCAAATTGAGTCATTCCACTCAAATGTTTACAGTAAGTAGAATAGAAACTTGTAGAATCATCTTCCTCTCTCATAAATGAAGCAACAGCAAAGTGGTACAGCATCTCAATTTTCAAGTTCCTCAAACAAGTTTTACTTTTGCAAAACGAACTTCTAACTTCCCACATTCCGTGAGCTGTGTTATAGTCAACATGACTTGCAGCCACGTTTGTTGTAATTTTTTAAATATGTGGAAAAAAAGAAAGATATCGACCATGTATTACCTTAACCAAGATGCCAAATTATCTAACTTGTTTCTCCAGGCAAGCAGCCCAACCACAGGAACAGCTCCCAGGAGCCAGTCAAGATTGTCTGTCTGTCCATCCACTCAGGACATCTGTAGGTAAGTGCTCAGCAAGTGATTCTACTCAATGTTTTTCCGACCAGTGTTTTGTATTCTTGTTTTACGTTCTGACTGTGTGGCTCTTGCTTTTGCCTATGTTGGCCATGGACAATTTATGCTGGCCTAATTTTTTTTTTCCTTTAGTGAATTTCTTTATTTGATCTTTATTTACCAACTTTTGGTCCATGCTATCATTTTCATTGTTCTCTCTCTCTCTCTCTCTCTCTCTCTCTCTCTTTTCCCATGGCTTTCTGTCCATTCCCATTTTCCATTCTTTGCCTGCTGCTTTGTCTATATCATTTTCGTTCTCTCTCTCTCTCTCTCTCTCTCTCTCTCTCTTTTCCCATGGCTTTCTGTCCATTCCCATTTTCCATTCTTTGCCTGCTGCTTTGTCTAGATCTACCATCTTGCATGACATGTCAGAAGATGGTTTTGAGCAATGCACCCCTGTCTGGTGCTGAGCCCTGCTAGGAAGGAGTCTGGTAAGAAATCAGTAAAACAGAGACCTAGGAGGAGGAGGAGGGCCTCTGAGAGATAAGAGCGTGCAGACTAACAAATAAAAGGGAGAATAAATGATTTTCAACTCCGGATCTCACGCCCCAGGTGGAGTGAGCTTCACTCAGATTCCTCAGATTCATCTCCCCTAGATGAGAGTCCTTGGATGCAGACAAAAAGAAGAGCCCAAGTGAAATTCCAACTGTCGCGAAGAAGGAGAAATAATAATGAATCACGTGGAAGCTTGGATGGGTCTTCTGCTCCTAATGGAATTGATCTGGTAAATTTGGGATCCAAAGATAAAAAGCAACAAGAACTGACTGAATGTGAGAGTTGCTCTTTAAACCTCTGCAGAGGAAAAGGCCTCTGGTACCAAGAGTGCAGTCTTCCCCTGCCTAGAGGACCCTATGAGTTTGAGAGATCCTCAAGGCACCACGAAGAAAGCAAAGGCAGATACCACCACAGGGATCCACAGCTCTTGCATAGTCATAGGCAAAATGAGACAATCAAGAAAAGATGTTCAGAAACAGATTTCAGCACTGAAATAGTGGCAGTACCAGAAGGCGGCAAGTCTATGAGTGATGCAGGGTTCCAGGTGAATAACTCTGTTCAGAAGCCTCCTGCCAGCTACCATGACGGGTCTGATAATTTAAAACTATGCAGGTCAGTCACTATAGAGAAAGACTGGATGCCATGCAAATGTACTGCTTTCTGCTATGAGCTGTGTGTGTGTTTGACACTTACCCTTAACGCATAACATTTATCCATGCTGTTGTCTGGTGGATATAAGGTGGTAAAATGAGAAAAGGTGCATCTGAGAAGAACAATAGAATTAGATTTCCCCTTTTTCCTTTTTGTTAATTGAATAATGGTTTATCCTAGTAAAGGGACTGACAAACCAGTTAGTCTTGTACCCATTCTAGTTAAGACAAGACTAATAGAGGGAATATGAGTGAGAGCATAGGAAACCTTAGATTCTTCAGTGTATATCTGGTGAACTATTAGCACCCTGACAGAAAAGATATTCAAGGTAAGGGGTTTTTAAGGTCAGAATTTTGTATCAGAAAAATCTCCTCCACAGTTGGTACTAATTTGCTCTCTAGTTGTTTGACTCAGCAGGTAATTTAAGACTGAAAGGACACAAAAACAGGTCCTGGACATACCAGTGCGGTTGCTGGAGCCTTCAGGGAAGGCGACCACATTAACTGTACTGAAAGGTCTCAAACATGCAGGCATTTCATAGCTGCAAAGCTGCTTTCTTGCACTTTTTACCTAACTGTACACATTTTCATCATTTATTCATTTAAGCCTCCATTGTGCATCAGGTTTTATTCTAGGCTTGAAAATATCATAATGCCTGAGATTTGTATAGTCTCTGACATCATAACTTACAGTCAGAGGAGGACAGCAGATACAAAACTCTTTCATAGTTTTATATAATTATGATTGTGATTAGGAATTTGATAATACAACAAGGAAGTTTTAATTATTCTGGGGATCAGAGAAGAACTCTCTTAAGGAAGTGACAAGCTGACCATGGCTCAAAGGCTGACAGGAGTTGATCAAGGAAAAAAACCAAGGAGACCATCCAGAGAGAATGCCACTATGAAGCCAGGATGAGGGGAGGAGTTTAGCAATCCAGCAAACTGAACTCTGGCTGTCCTGGCCAGGGGCTGGTGGGTGAGGGGCATGGGTGGTAGTGATGAGAACTGAGAGGTGGAGAGAGGCATGCAAAACATGCTAAGGGATTTAAAGAGAAATGACATCATTTGATTTGTATGTTAATGTGAGTTTCTTGTAATCTTTTGAATATGATTTAAGTGTGGCTTAGCTAAAATGTTGGGGGATAGAATAAAACACTCTTTCCAGTCTAGACTAAGAATTCCCACTTGCAACCATCTGTTGCCATTTTCCCAAACCTCCTTCCAACATAATTTAATGAAAGACATTCAAAGAAGCTGGTTGTAGGCTTATTGGTAATTGGAGAAAAAAGTAATGCTTGCAATTAAAGTCATAGTGGCTGGTTCTCCTAACTTAAAAGCACTGCTCTGGAGGAACATTTTCAAAGACAGGATATTTCACTTAGATTTCTATTAATGAAAGTGAGATCGATGGGCCTATTTTCTTGCTGTGAGTTATCATCAAAATATACCCACTAAGCAAATACTAAGGACAGCATATTGTACTAGATGCTGAGGCTAAAAAATGACAAAAGATGTGATTCTTCCCTTAAGTGGCCTATTATCTATTAGGAGAAATTGAACACACACCTGAAAAGATGAAAGTTCAAGGCAGTTCAGGGTGAATTTAAGAAGAGGAATACTGCAAGCATTTGAAGAAAGAAAACTTGCTGAGAGCTGGAACAATCTGGAAACCCCTTAAGAGGGGGGATTATTGGGACTGAGAAAAGTAGAATTTAGTTTGGCAGAGATGTATGGGTAGCATTCCAGGCACTCAAGCCAGGGAAAATACCATGAGTCCAGACTGGGATGCAGGAATGACACTATGCACTTAAAAATTTTGTGTGAATTTTTGTAACTCGTTTGGAAGCTTTGCATAGATTGATAACAACTAAATTTTTAAGAGACATTATAAACAAAATATGCATATGCTTACAAGGAGTTTAATTCTATTCTGTAGTCTTATTTTCAAACTGCCTCTTAGTGCCAAAGAGGCTGCCTCGAAAGTTGAGGACAGATTAAGAGGATTGTACTTCCTTTAGCCCATCTTCAACCAGAGAAGTTTCATGATAATCTCTCTTATATAATGGGGTTTCACATAGTATTCCTTTAAGGAGAGACTAGTTTGGAAGCTTTGCATAGATTGATAAAAACTACATTTTTTTAAGAGACATTATAAACAAAATATGCATATCCTTCCAAGGAGTTTAATTCTATTTTGTTGTCTTATTTTCAAACTGCCTCTTGGTGCCAAAGAGGCCGCCTCGAAAGTTGAGGACAGATTAAGAGGATTGTACTTCCTTTAGCCCATCTTCAACCAGAGAAGTTTCATGATAATCTCTCTTATATAATGGGGTTTCACATAGTATTCCTTTAAGGAGAAAAGAAGATTCCACTGCAAAAGATAATACAGAACAGCCTTTGCTAAATAAAATAGTCTCAATGAAGAACAACATACACAGAGTAGTCACAGTGTCCTGAGGGTGTCCTGGGAAAGGGACCTAGATGTAGGAGAATGTGTTGGAATGAGGTAGAAGTATCTTACTTTGAGATAACTAGGACTAGGATGATATAGGGTAATGAAAGGGGGGGTAACATTGGCATATTGGCATCCCACCAGGTGAATAGGAACAATCTAAATCAGTGGTTCCCAAACTTATTTGGCCTACCGAACCTAGATGTAGGAGAATGAGTTGGGATGAGGTAGAAGTATGATTGTACTTTGAGATAACTAGGACTAGGATGATACAGGGTAATGAAAGGGGGTAACATTGGCATATTGGCATCCTACCAGGTGTATAGGAACAATCTAAATGCTTTGGCATTGGTGAGAGCATAAGACAAAGGCACCAATGATGACTCCAAATCTTAGAACTTAGGAGACAATAAATGCTGATGATATTGGCAAAGGCAGAAGAGGTAGAGGGAAGCTGGTTTGGGAAAGACATGATGAGTTCAATTACAGGCAGGCTATTTGTTATTGCAGTGACATTCAAGGGTCAGCTGTCCAACAGACAGTATGAGACATGTCACTGAAACACAGGAGAGCAGTCAGGGCTGGGTCTGTGTACTTTTTTTAAAATTTTAATAGCAGTTACTCATCGCCCCCAAATGCACCTGTGGCCATCACCGCCCCCCTGGATCGCTGCAGCGCCCACCGGGGGGTGGTAGCGCCCACTTTGAGAATCACTGATCTAAATGCTTGGCATTGGTAAGAGCATAAGACAAAGGCACCAATGATGACTCCAAATCTTAGAACTTAGGAGACAATAAATGCTGATGATATTGGCAAAGGCAGAAGAGGTAGAGGGAAGCTGGTTTGGGAAAGACATGATGAGTTCAATTACAGGCAGGCTATTTGTTATTGCAGTGACATTCAAGGGTCAGCTGTCCAACAGACAGTATGAGACATGTCACTGAAACACAGGAGAGCAGTCAGGGCTGGGTCTGTGTACTTGTTCAAGCATCAGTGAGCTATACACAGACCAACACTGAACAATCGCATTTTTGCAATTGTCATTAATATGACGTATTAGCACAGGGCAACAGCACAAAGATATTAAAAATGAAAATATAATTATGGTCATAAAGGACATATATATTCTCAGGAAGGTGACTGTGATGCCAGGAAAGTGAATGAAATCTTTAAATGAGGTCATATTTAGGGGGAAAAAGCCTCTAAATGGACACAGCCTGAGCACCAGCGTCCCCTGTGAAGGGGAGAAAGATGACCCCTGAGAGAAGCAGCAATTGCCTTGAACTTGCAGTCCAGCTTCAGAAATGCATAGGCAGGACCAGTCTCAGCCACAACCACAAAGCAGAAGCTTCTGAGCCCTTCCTCCTTCTCTGTTCCGAGCACTGAGTCCCCACGAGGACACTCTGCTCCTTTCCACCGCATCAAAGCCTTATTTAGAGAAAGTTTCTCTTAGCCAGTTATAACTTGCAGGAAATTTAAATCATCACAGTTGTGTAATGGGAGAAGCTTTTCCTTTTTTAATAGAAAAATTTACATTTAGAAAAAAACACATGTTAGCTCAGGCTTGAAACTTTTTAATGGCCTCTTAATAGCCCTTGGTGGCAAGTTCAAAATCTTTAATATAATTTACAAGTCCTGCATGATCTATCAGATCTGCCTCCCCAGCTTCAATGCCCATCATTGACAATGGCCTATTCATGCTGGTCTGTCTTCAATTCCCTGGAAATGGCCAGACCTGTCTCTTTTAGGGCCTAGAATGCCTACACATTATCCCCTCTGCCCTTCACCAGACTGACTCCTAGTCATCCTTTCCTGATTTAAGTATCATTTCTTTAGGGATGCCTTCACGATGCTCTAACCAATATTCAGGTCACTTGGGAGTCAATTTCATAGCATAATTTTAAATTGCTAATGTATAGATATTTTTGTGATTGACTGTATCAGATTTGTTCATGGCAGTGTTCACAGTGCATCAAAGATAGCACACACTCAACACAGTTTTTGAATGAATAAGTTTAGGGCTAATGAATTTTTCTAAGGGAGTCATTCTTACTGTGTGAAATCATAGCATTAAGGGGTGGATTACCTCACCTTCTATGGAGCCAACATGTATACTCTACACAGAATACTCTACACCAGCAGTTCTCAAACCTTAGTGACATCAGTTGACTACAGGGCTTGTCAAAATACAGATTGTTGGATGTACCCCCAAAGTTTCTGATTCACTTACTTTGGGGTTGAGCCCATGCATTTGCATTTGTAAAATGTTCCCAGGTGATATAGATGTTGTTGATATACGGACCACTTTTTTAGAACCTCTATTCTATGCTACAAATTCTTTCTAGGCTTTAAGTGGGAAGAGAAAAGAGTAAAAGTAATTGAACAGATGAGTATGAGAAGCATACTTATAGTTTCTTATCATATTCTATTGAATTCTGACACAAAGCATAATTCAATTAGTTTCCTGTATTTCACTACCAGGATAGTTTGGGTCATCTCACTAAAAC